GCTATGTATTTGCCAAGATTGTAGTTGAAGGAATCATATGTCGTAGGGGGCAGTCCTGTTTGTATGGCTTAGGAATGCCATAGAATTGTGGTGTGTGTGTGTGTGTGAATCAGTTGGGTATTTTTAGCTATATTTAGGATGTTCAAGTACTACAGAATGACTTGGATCAATTGGTTAGGTGGAGAAATACTATGCAAATGACCTTTAATTAATTTAATTAAGTAATTAATATTAACTTCTGATCAAAGCAAGCAATATAGTTAGAGCAAGACTTGGCAATCAGTATAGTTAAATAAATATAATTTTTGTATACTCCTGTTTTTAAAAATTTGAATGTATTGTTTTGTCAGTTGGATACCCTTGCTGTTAATGATATTTTTGGCCATAATCCTAAGTACAAGATATACATTTGGATTATCCCAGGAAGGGAAATTTGTAATGTTGTACATTTTACGTTACTGCGTAGAAAGGGTTTCTTATGGTGTTGTGCACAGCCATTATTCAGAGATTAAATCATTTATGGACTGTAACATTATCCAGAAGTAGCTATTTTGTATAAATATCCTTGAAAAAAGTTAATGGATTAATAAGGGAAAAAGTTCCCTTCAACAAATCCATAAATGTTCTGGTATGATATCGTATTTCACAAGGTGATTTTGCATAGCTTGTTTTATTCAAATGTACATTTTTTTCCACTACAGAAGGACAATTCTTATGTAATATCCTTTGTAAAAAATAGGAATAACATTACCAATTCTTCAATCCTCAGATATCTCTTTTTAGGTTCAATGTTTTGTTGCATATGGAGATAAGGAATAATGATATTTTGGTTACAAATTTCAAAAACTAACTTTGAAGGAATGCGACAAGAGTTAAGAAAAAATGGATTAATGTCATAAATGGGGTACCTCAGGGCCCAGTCTTAGGACCTTTGCTGTTTTTTTATTTATATCAATTACATTGATGAAGTAATGGTAAATAAATTACTTAAATTTGCTGGTGATACTAAGGTCTTGCTTGTTGCTAGCTGTGAAGAGGATGCTGCTGCTTTACAAAAGGATTTAGATCATTTAGTGAATTGGGCAGATAAATGGCAG